GAAGGAAGGAAGGAAGGAAGGAAGGAAGGAAGGAAGGAAGGAAGGAAAAAATTCCAGGAGGTGGGTGAGAGGAGGCAGGAAGGGCAGGTGGGGAGTCCATAAGAATGGCAGGGGTAAGCAAGGCAGGAGGTGAGGTGTGAAGAGGCAGAAGGGGCTGCACTAACATGGCATTACTGGTGGTGGCCGCTGTCTCTTGGGCTGCAGAAACCACTCCGCACTTGGCACATTTCAAGGCCAGACCATACAGGGGCACTGCCATCTGACTGGAAGTGAAATCAAAGACTGAAACAAAACCAAATAACTTTTGCTCTCAGAACACAAAAAAGGAGCTAAGGAAGAAAAGAGAAGAGGAACCCCAAACTTATTAGGGAAGGAAAGTCTAGGGGATGGAGGGAAGGGTGAACCAGGGAGAGAAGGAAGGAGGTGGGGAAGGAGAAGGAATATAGGATAAAGTTCACAAGCACAGAGCAGTGGGGTGTCTCCCAGCTCAGTCCCTGGCCTCCACCAGGCCTGCTCTGAGACTCTGGGGAGGGTGATATTGGAACCCGAGCTCTTATCCCTGACTCCTGACTGGCAGCAACCCTGGGAGGTGGAGAGGGCAAAGTGCATGGTCAGGGCTGATGATGGGGGTGAGGGTCAGGGGTTATGTTGGAGGGGATCCTGTGCCACTGGATCTCACTGGCTATCTGAGGATCCCATGATGGGTGGGGGGAGACTTGGTGGGATTTCACACTCAGCTTTTAAATCCTTGTGTTGAAAAGTCAGAGAAGGGTTAGGAGGCCTGCAGGATCTGGGGGTTTGAGTGTGTTTCTATGATTACCTGGGTATCTGTAGTTATAAGGGTGGGGAAAAGTGGATCTAGATCTGCATGTCTATGTATCTGTGTATATTTGCATATACCTGTGTGCTAGGGTCTGTATATATGTGTGTATGTATTTGTCCATGCGGCTGTAGATTCTGACCTCCCCAAGGACAGTGTCATGAATGTAACAGAGCTCAGCCTCATGAGGTTCAGTACAGACTTGGTGACTGATGGATGGACTGAGCAGAGTGTAAACAGCTGTTTGCTTACGTGTCTATCTATAACTAGCAATGCATCTGTGTCAGTGTATGAGAGGACGCCTCTATGGGTACATGAGTCAAACTCAGAATGCCAGAGTTAGAGAGGGGCTTAAAGTTCAATCCTTCCTGATTTAGGGCTTGCCTTTCCAAAAGACAGGGTGGGTCAGTGGAAAGAGCACCCCATAATGGGAGTTATGAGACCTGGGCTCTCTATCCAATGGTATGTTGACATTGGCTCATAACAGTGACCAAGAGCTGATTGTTAAATTTTCAGTGTGAGCATTTACACACCTGAAATAAGCAAATGCTACTAATCAGGGCTTGATTTATTACTTTGCTGATTGTCTAGACCAGCAGCCCCACTCTCCATCTTCCCTAATGCAGCTGAACCAGATTAAAATATAATTGGGAGATATTTAACAAAATAAATACAAATACAATAAAACACAGAGAATGTTACAGATAATGTTACTATGGGTTTTCTAGTCAATATGTGGCCTGCAGGGATCCCTATGTACATTAGTGGCCCTTGTTTCTATTTGAATTTGACACTACTGTTCTAGACTTAAGAAAGTGATGGAGAAAATTTTAATAATGGAGGTTAAAATTGAAAGTATGTGTGGTACACCACCCCTCTGCCAGTTCAAAGAGCCAGTTGTTAAACATTTACCTGCTTCTATATGACATTTACTACCTACTATGTGATCCTGGGCAAATCACTTCTCCTTTTGTGTCTCAATTTACTCAGTTCTAAACAAAAGAAACTGGCCTTGTTGTTGAGTCATTTCAGTCATGTCTGACTCTCCTTGAGCCCATTTGGGGTTTTCTTGGCAAAGATACCACAGTGGTTTTCCATTTCTTTCTCCAGCTCATTTTTACATATGAGGAAACTGAGGCAAGCAGGGTTAAGTGACTTGTCCAGGGTCACACAGCTAGTAAGTGTCTAAGGCCAGATTTGAACTCAGGTCCTCCTGACTCCAGGGCCAGCGCTCTATCTACTGAGTCACCTAGCTGCCTGAGATTGACCTTGTTAACCTCTAAAGTCTGTCCCTGTCCTAACAGTCTATGCTCTAAGTCTATCTTCCCAAACAGGCAAGAGAATTTCCACTTTAACACCTCCCATAAGAGTGAGTCACTGTCTTCTGGGTCAGCCTATTCCATTGCTGGACAGCTCTAACTCTGAGGAGAAAGAACTTGGTTCTTAGAGCTCAGAGTTGTCTCCTTGTAACTTTTCAGATGGATCACCTAGTTCTTGTTTTACCGATGAGGAAACAGCAGGTCAGAGAAATGAAGTGACTTATTTGAGGTGATGCAGCAAACATTGGGGGCTACGCTAACAACTCTTCCCCTTTCTCTCCGTACCCATTCTGCCCTCTGGGGCCAAGCAGAACAAGGCTAATTCCTCTTGCCCATGACAGCTCTTCACATGCTTGAAAACAGCTACTATGTCTCCCCACCCTCTCCCTGCCAATCCACCCTCATCTCCTGATCCCTGAGTTTTCTCTTCTCCAGGCTAAACATTCCCAATTCCTTCAACCTATTCTCAGTATGACCTGCCCTCACCATGCTAGAAGCTCTCCTCAGGACCTGCTCCAGCCTGCTCATGCTCCTCTTATGATACATAGATAAACTGTGAGCCTGAGGGTGAATACGTGGACATACCTAGAGGTACAATGGATAGCTGGCCTTGCAGTTGGGATGGCCTGAGTTCCAATCTGGCCTCAGACACTTACAGTGCGTGACTGAGGCATGTCATTTATCCTCAGTCTACCTCAGTTTCCTTGTCTGTGAAACAGGGATAATAACAGCGCCTACTTCCCAAAGATGTTGTGAAGATCAAATGATGTAATACTTGTAAAGTGCTTTGTAATCACTACCTATTCATATCATACTCCTCTGACAGATAATTCCAGGGCCTACACTCAGTCAAAGCCCTGGGCTAAGCACTAATGAACAGTACATCCGCATAGCTCTTTGTAGAAATATTTCCTCAAACCATTCCAACCCAATCCTCCTTGAGGCAGGTCTTATACTTCTATTATCATCTATTCAGCAGAGAAGGAAATTAAAGCTGGGAGTATTCAGTGATATACTTAAAGGTCAATTTTCTCACAACCACCTTGCAAGGTCATAGTACACTTACATATTCTAATTCCTATAATCCCTGAAGCTATTGAGACTCAGAGAGGAAGCTGCAGTGGTCTTCACCAGACACTGCTTCTGTAATCACTATATATGAAAGAGTGTAGGGTGGGGTGTTTGTGTGTGTATGTGCTCGTGTGTGCACATGCATGCACAAGTGAGTAGAATTTTTTGTTGTTATTGTTATTCAGTTTTGTCTCTGTGACCCCATTTGGGGTTTTCTTGTCAGAGACACTGGAGTGGTTTGCCATTTCCTTCTCCAGTTCGTTTTACAGATGAGGAAACTAAGGCAAACAGGGTTAAGTGACTTGTCCAGGGTCACATAGGTAGTAAGTGTCTGAGGCCGGATTTGAACTCAGGAAGATAAGTCTTTCTGACTTGAGGTCCAGTGCTTAATCTACTGTGCCACCTAGCTGCCTCTTGTGAAGAAATAGCCCTTTTCTTATGACTGGTATATTGCTTGAAATCATACCTGGTTTGGTTTGTGTGATATGGATGAGAAACTGTAAACATTGTTGGGGGCTTAGAGCTAGAACAATATTGGTTTGGTAAGATGAAATGACTAGTCCACCATCTTTCCTAGGGTTGTGCCATTTTTCAGACAAAGAAATTGTAATTCAGAGGTTAAGTGACTTGCCCAAGGTCTCATACAGTGATCAATGGCAAAGTCAAAGCTCTCTCCTGACTCTTTCTGGGATACAATAGTGACTCCTTACTCCCTAGAAGGACCCCAAAATATAGAATTTTGACCTGCAAAGGACCTTAGAGAAGGCAATGGGGTCTAATGGAAAGACCACTGGATTTGTGGTCAGAAGACCTGCATTCAAATGCCAACTCTGTATGACTTTGAGTAAGACACTTCACCTCAATATTCTCAGCTTCCTCCACTTTAAAATGACAGATGTGGAACCAGAGGACACAGGGTTGAATTTGCTTTCTGCTATTTACCATCTGGGTGGATTTGAGTACCTTAGTTTCCCACTAGATGTCCTTTGTGTTCTCTTTCAGCTCTAAATCTATGATCTTATTAAAATTCATCAACTTGGATGGAGCCTGGCTAAATGTCCATAAGATGCCAGGGTTCAGAGGAATGTTGCAAATCATCTCTTCCACTCACCTTATTTTACAGAGGAGGAAACTGAGCTACAGAGATAGGGAAAGAACTTGCCCAAGGTCACATAATGAGTCAATATCATACTCAAGATGAATTAAGATCTCCTGATGGTTTCCATGATACCATGTTGTGTCTGTGGTGAGGTGGGCATATCTTTTCATTTCTCTGGGTCTCAGTTTTCCTATCTGTAAAATTGGGAGAGTCACTACTAATTGTTTTTTGTGACTTAGGTGATTTGTCCAAGGTCATAAAGGTTGTATATAGATGAAGCACATTCAGGATTTGAACTCAGGGCTTCTGAAGCCAAATCCTGGGCTCTTATATTATAGAAGTTGGCAGATGAGTGGGTTGGAAATGGAAAAGAAGCTGAAGTCATCTGGATGTCAGAGGCCAGGAAGTGGTGGCAAGCAGGCCAATGGCAGAGGGACATAGGGTTGGTTAATCTGACACTTAGTGGCTGTGTGACCTTATATATGTAACATTCTTTCTGAGCCTTAGTATCCTCATCTGTCAAGTTAATGGATGATAACAGCACTTACCCTCCAGGGTTGTCATGAAGCTGGAATGAGATAAAGTTTGTAAAACACTTTGCTAACCTTAAACTGATATGTAAACATTAGCTACTGTCATTATTATTAGCCATGGAAAGGGTGCTAGACAAAGGAAATCTTTAGGAGAAAATTTGCAGGCTATAGAACTCAAGACTGGTGTAGTAGAAAATAAAATAAAAAGGCCTGGTAATAATAATGATAGCTAACATTCATATGGCACCTACTATGCGCCAGGCACTATGTTATGCTCTTTATAATTATTATCTCATTTGATCCTCACAACAGCCCTGGAAGGTAGGTGCTATTATGATCCCCATTTTAGAGATGAGGAAACTGAGGCAGGCAGAGATTAAGTGATTTTGCCCAGGGTCACACAGCTAGTAAGTATATGAAT